ACTAGCCCGCCCGTTGCAGGCTAACTAGTTGCCCCTTGCAGGCTAACTAGCCCTGCCTGTGTAGGCTAGCTAACCTGCCCCATGTAGGCTAACTAGCCCTCCCCGTGAAGGCTACCTAGCCCTCCCCGTGAAGGCTACCTAGCCCTCCCCGTGAAGGCTAACTAACTTCCCTTTACAGGCTAACTAGCCTTCCACCCTGCGCAGCAGGCTAACTAGCCGCCCCCCTGCGTTGCAGGCTAACTAGCTGAACTGACCCCTTTAGGCATCTTTAGTCTCTCTTCGGGCCTCCGGCTCGCAGACATCCGGACTCTGGGGCAGCAAAGTGAAGCCACGTTTCCGTTTCAGGGGCGCGGAGTACGTGTCTGCCAGGGAGTGGATGAGAATCTGCTTCGAGCTGCTGGAGCTGCTCAAAGCTCACAAGAAGGCCATCCGCCGAGCCACCGTCAACACATTCGGCTACATCGCCAAAGCCATCGGGTGAGTACCGCCCTGGGCGCCATGCCGACCGGCAACGACAGTGACCTTGAACTGACCTTTAACGGCGACCCTGAACAGACCTTAAACTCGTACTGAATAGCAACCCTGACCAGTGGCCCTGAACTGACCTTGAAGCCACGTTGAATTGAACGTAAATCCTGAACTGACCTTAAACTCACACTATACTGACCTAAAACTCACACTGAACTGACATTGAACCCCCACTGAACTGACCTTGAAGAGCTACGCTGAACTGACCTTGAACTCGTACTGAAGTGACCTTGAACTTGCCCAGAACTGACTTTGATCAGTGACCCCAAACTGAGCTTGAATTCACCCTAAACTGACCCTGAACATTGACCCTAAACAGTGACCCTGAACTGACCTTGAACTTGTAATGAACCCACCTTGAACTGACCTTGACCTGTGACCTTGAACCCACCTTGACCTTGAACTGACCTTGACCCTGCTCGCCCTGCTCACCCCGACCTGACCTTAAACTCACACTAAACCCACCTTGACCTGTGACCTTGAACCCCCCTTGACCTGTGACCTTGACCCTGCCCCCCCCCAGGCCCCACGACGTGTTGGCCACGCTGCTGAACAACCTGAAGGTGCAGGAGCGGCAGAACCGCGTGTGCACCACGGTGGCCATCGCCATCGTGGCGGAGACCTGCTCGCCGTTCACGGTGCTGCCGGCGCTCATGAACGAGTACCGCGTGCCCGAGCTCAACGTGCAGAACGGCGTGCTCAAGTCGCTGTCCTTCCTGTTCGAGTACATCGGCGAGATGGGAAAGGACTACATCTACGCCGTCACGCCGCTGCTGGAGGACGCCCTCATGGACCGGTGAGCAGGACCAACTGGGTATAATAGGACATGATATACTAGATGTATGACATATGTCATACAACATGTATGTCATACAACATGTATGTCATACTACATGTATGACATATGTCATACAACATGTATGTCATACTACATGTATATCATACCTCCTACAACATGTGTCATACTACATGTATGACGTATGTCCTACAACATGTATGTCATACCTCCTACAACATGTATTTCATACCTCCTACAAAATGTATGACATGTCATACAACATGTGTCATACTACATGTATGAAGTATGTCCAACATGTATGACGTGTGTCGTACAGCATGTATGACGTATGTCGTACAGCATGTATGACATATGTCCTACAACACATATGTCATGCTACATGTATGATATATGTTCTACAACATGTATGTCATACTACTTATATGACACGTCATATATCATGTATGTCATACTACATGTATGACTTTTGTCCTACAACATGTATGACATGTCCTACGACATGTATGTCTTACTACATGTATGATGTATGTTCTACAACATGTATGTCATACTACTTATATGACACGTCATATATCATGTATGTCATACTACATGTATGACTTTTGTCCTACAACATGTATCTCATACTACATGTATGTCATACCTCCTTCAACATGTATGTCAAACCTCCTTCAACATGTATTTCATACCTCCTACAACATGTATGAAATGTCCTACAACATGTATGACATGTCCTACAACATGTATGTCATACTACATGTATGACATATGTCCTACAACATGTATGTCATACCTCCTACAACATGTATGAAATGTCCTACAACATGTATGACATGTCCTACAACATGTATGTCATACTACATGTACGATGTATGTTCTACAACATGTATGTCATACTACATGTATGATATATGTCATACTACATGTATGACGTATGTCCGACAACACGTATGTCATACTACATGTATCACGCATGTCCGACAACATGTATGACATGTCCTACGACATGTATGTCATACTACATGTATGACGTATGTCCTACAACACGTATGTCATACTATATGTATGATGTATGTTCTACAACATGTGTCATACTACTTATATGACACGTCATATATCATGTATCTCATACTACATGTATGTCATACCTCCTTCAACATGTATTTCATACCTCCTACAACATGTATGTCATACTACATGTATGACATATGTCCTACAACATGTATGTCATATGTCCTACAACATGTATGTCATACTTCCTACAACATGCATGTCATACCTCCTACAACATGTATGTCATACTACATGTATGTCATGTCATACGTTCAGTGTGATATGTCATGTCATACGTTCAGTGTGATATGTCATATAACACGTGTGGTGGCGTGTTCTGCAGGGACCTGGTGCACCGGCAGACGGCGAGCGCGGTGGTGCAGCACATGTCTCTTGGCGTGTACGGCTTCGGCTGCGAGGACTCGCTGAACCACCTGCTGAACTACGTGTGGCCTAACGTGTTCGAGACGTCACCACACGTGATCCAGGCCGTGATGGGAGCGCTGGAGGGGCTGCGCGTGGCGCTGGGGCCCTGCCGCATGCTGCAGTACTGCCTGCAGGTGGGTGTCCCCATTTGTGTGTCTGAGTCCCCAGGTGTGTGTCCAAGTGTGTGTGTGTGAGAGAGAGGAAGAGAGAGAGTCCTCAGGTGTGTGTGTGTGACTCCCCCCAGGGGTGTGTCCAGGCTAGTGGGTGTGTGTGTGTGTGTGTGTGTGTGTGTGTGTGTGTGTATGTTAGTTCCCAGGTGTGTTTGTGAGTCTGTGTGTGCGTGTTTGAGTCCCCAGGTGTGTGTGTGTGTGTGTGTGTGAATCCCCAGGTGTGTGTGTGAGAGTCCCCAGGTGCGTGTGTCTGAGTCCCCAGGTGCGTGTGTCCAAGTGAGTGTGTGTGAGTCCCCAGGTGTGTGTGTGTGTTAGTAGCCAGGTGTGTGTGTGTGTTAGTAGCCAGGTGTGTGTGTGTGAGAGTGTCTGTGTGTGAGTCCCCAGGTATGTGTGTGTGTAGGTGTGTGTGTGAGTCCCTAGGTGTGTGTGTGTGTTAGTCCCCAGGTGTGAGTCTGTGTGTAGGTATGTATGAGAGTCCCCAGGTGTGTAGGTGTGTGTGAGAAAGTACCCAGGTGTGTGTGTGTGTGTCCCCATTTATGTGTGAGTACGTGTGTGTGTGTGTGTGAGAGAGAGAGAGAGAGTCCCCAGGTGTGTGTGAGAGAGAGAGAGAGTCCCCAGGTGTGTGTATGCGTGTCCAGGCTAGTGTGTGTATGTGTGTCTCCTCAGGTGTGTGTGTCTGTGTGTGTCCTCAGGTGTGTGTGTGTTAGTGCCCAGGTGTGTGTGTGTGTGTGTGTGTGAGTGAGTCCCCAGGGTCATAGGTGTGTGAGAGTCTCCAGGTGTGAGTCCATGTGTGTGTATGTGAGTCCTCGGGTGTTTGTGTGTGTGTGAGAGAGAGTCACCAGGTGTGTGTGTATGTGTGTGTCCCCACATGTGTGTGATTCCCCAGGTGTGTGGGGGCCGGGGCTAGCAGGCTGTTAGCAGGCTGTTAATGAGCTAACTTGCTGCTAGCAGGCTAACCGGGTACTATTGGCTAACCGGGTGCTAAAAGGCTAACCAGATGCTAAAGTGCTAACGTGCTGCTCTCTTTAGGGCCTGTTCCACCCGGCCCGTAAGGTGCGGGACGTGTACTGGAAGATCTACAACTCCATCTACATCGGCTCGCAGGACGCCCTGATCGCTCACTACCCGCAGGTCCACAACGACGACAAGAACGCCTTCGTGCGCTACGAGCTGGAGTTCGTCCTGTAGGCCCCGCCCCCCCCTGTAGAGTCTGTACGTATTTTTAATTTGTTCTCTGTGTTGAGAAGCGGCCGACCCCTCATCAGGTTTTAAGCATCCC